CTTCCTCAAAAAACTCAATCAAGTTTGAGAGACACGATGTCCCACACGCAGAGCCATTTTGACTATCCCTAATAAGTGCTTGCCTTTCCAAATACATGTAAATCCCGTCCCTCAGAATCCCCTCCAACAACTCATCCACCACCGATGTCAGGCTCACCAGTCTATGGTCCCCTGGCTTTTCTTTACCACTTTTCTTAAATAATGGCACCACATTAGCCAAACTCCAGTCTTCTGGCACCTTACTTGTGGCTATCAATGATACAAGCATGTCAGCAAGGGGCCCAGCAATCACTTCACTAGCTTCCCACAGAGTTCTGGGTTACACCTGATCAGGTTCCAGGGATTTATCAATCTTTATGCGTTTTAAGACTTGCAGTACCTCCTCTACAAAATGGACACTTTTTAAGATATTACTATTTATTCCACCAAGTTCTCTAGCTTAGCTTCCATATCCTTCTCCACGGTAAACACTGATGCAAAATAATCATTCAGTATCTTACCCATCTCCTGTGGTTCCACACATAGGTGGCCTTGCTAATCTTTGAGCGACCCTGTTCTCTCCCTAGTTACTCTTTTGCCCTTAATGTATTTGTAGAATCCTTTTGGATTCTCTTTAACCCTATTTGCCAAAGTCATCTCACGTCCCTTTTTGCCCTACTGATCTCCCTCAATTATGTTCCTACTGCCCTTATACTCTTCTAGGGATTCATTCAATCCCTGCCGTCCATACCCGACATACGCTTGCTTCTTTCTTTTGACCCTGTGGGTAAGCTAGTAGAATTGAATATTAAAGAAATTATATATCTGTGCACTTAGAAAATCAAGATAATGGGGAAGTGTTAGCACGATTTATTCAAGGGAAATCATGTTTAACCAAGTTATTGCAGTTCTTTGAAGGAGTGATACATGATGTATACAAACAGGAGCCCATAAACCTACTATACTTAGATATTCAGAAGACATTTGCTAAAGTGCCACATCAAAGTTCGTTGCTGAAAATAAAGCACACAGTTTACAGAATAAAATATTAGCACTGACGCAAGATTGACCAGCTGGCAGAAAACAGCGTATGCATAAATGCATCTTAGTCTGATTGGCAGAATGTGGCAAGTGCAGTCAGGCAGGGGTCTCTGCTGGGCCCTCCATTTTTTACAATGAACATCAGATGAGGGGAACGAAGTCATCTAAATTCACTGACATCACCTAGATAGGTAGGAAAGTATATTGTGAAGACATAAGGAAGTTGCAGATAGATAGATAGGTTGCGTGGATGGGTAAAAATCTGGCTGATGGAGTGTAAAACGAGAAAATATGTTATTGTTCAGTTTGGTAGGAACTCTAAAAAAGCACAGCATTATTTAAACTGAGAATAACCGCAGGATTCTGAGGTGCAGAGAGATTTAGTGTTCTAGTACAATAGACACACAAGGTTAGTATACACACACAGCACATAATCAAGGCGGCTCGAGGGACGGTATCCTTTATTACAAGAGGAACTTAACATAGAAGTAAGGACGTATGCTTCAGTTATACAGAGTACCGGTGAGACTACATCTCAAGTACTGTGTGTAGATTTGTTCTTCTTACTTGAGGAATGATGTAAATGTATTGGAGAAGATTCAATCATAGTTTATCAAATTGATACCTGAAATGAGTGTGCTTTTTTAAATGAGGATTGATTGATTAGACAGGCCAAGATTGCTTCCACTTAAGTTCAGACGATTGAGGGGTGACTTGCTTTAAGCATATAAGATCCTGAAGGGTCTTGACAAGGTGGATACAGAATGAATGTTTTCTCGTGAGTGGGTCCAGAACCAGAGGCACTGTTTTAAAATTCGGGTCACCCTATTAGATCAGTAATGAGAATTTTTTCTCTCTCAGAAGGTAGTGAGAGAATTTGGATTTCTTTACCTCAAAGGTCAGTGGAAGTGGGTCACTGTAATTTAGTTAGATAGAGGTGGATTAATTCTTGTTAGATATAGGAATCAAGGGTTATGGGGGTGGGTGGGTAGGGTAGATGGGAATATGGAATTTGAAATATAAACAGATCAGCCATGGTCTTATTGAATAGTGGAGTAAGCTCAAGGCCAACACTTCCACTGATTGTTCCTGTTGCTGCTAAGACTCCGGGAGGTCCATGGGGCAGCAGTAGAATCCAGAAGTAGCAGCTATGTGTCAGCACATCGATTGATGTGTACAGAGCCTCCAAGCCGCTGCACAGTCATGCAGTTTAGAGGCAACATTGCTCCAAGGACTGAATGGTTAAATTCTGTTCCCATTCTTTATGGTTGCAATGAGACTGATTACCTGCCAACCTTCTTGGTTAGGGTTGTTGGTTGCTTTGCCAAGCTGACTGGTTTTCATGCAAACATTTCGCCTCCCTTCTAGGTGACATCGTCAATGCTGTGCAGCCTCCACTGAAGCGCTGTTGTTCTGTCCCGCTCTGAATTCATATGGTCTGGTCTGTCATGGTGGGCAGGCTTGTTTCTGGTTTTGTACCGCAGTGGTACGTAGATGGGGTCTATTTCAACATGTTCATTTATCACACCGGTGATTGAAAACCTGGCTTCCTGGAATTCCCGTGCTTATCTTGGATTTGCTTGTCCTAGTACTGTAACTTTGTCCCAGTCAAATTGACGCCCTTCTATATCAGAGTGTATTGAAACGAGGGAGAATTGGTTGTGCTGTTTTGCTGCGAGTTGGTGTTCATGTATCCTGGTGGCGTGTTTCCTACCCGTCTGTCCTATGTAGTGTTTCTCGCAGTTGTTGCACGGTATTTTGTATGTCACACTTGTCCTGCTCATTGTGGGTATGGGGTCCTTCGTCTTTGAGAGTAACTGACGAAGTGTAACTGCTGCTTTGTGAGCTATCCTTATTCCAAGAGGTTGTCGGAGTCTTGTAGTCAGTTCTGATATGTTTCTAATTGAGGGTAGGGTGGCCAGTGTGTTGGGGTGTACAGTGTCTTCTTGGTGTTGTTTATTTGCCAGGCATCGGCAGACGAAGCTGTTAGGATACCCATTGTTCATAAAGATTTTGTATAGGTGTTTTCTTCGTTTTGCGTAGCTCCGGGGGTGTTATTGCTCGCTTAAACAGAATCTTGACAGAGCTCTGTTTGTGGACACTGGGATGGTTACTGTTGTAATTCAGGATTTGGTCTGTGTGTATAGTCTTTCTGTTTACACGCATAAGGAATTCACCATTGTTCATTCGTTTCACTAGTACGTCTGGAAACGGGAGTTGGTTGTTGTTCTCTTCTTGCCTGGTGAACTTGGTCCCAGTGAAAATGCTGTTAATAAGGTGGTGTGTTTCTTCTAACTTTTCTTGTTTAATGATAACAAAAGTATCGTCCATGTATCTCACCCATAGTTTAGGCTGGACCTGAGGGAGGGCTGTGCATTCAAGTCTTTGCATAACAGCTTCTGCTATCAGACCCGAGATGGGTGAACCCATGTGTGTTCCATTAATTTGTTCATATACCTGGCCATTAAAGATGATAAGCGTGGTAAGACATAGGTCTAGTCCGCTGATGCCTGGCAAATAAACAACACCAAGAAGACACTGTACGCCCCAACACACTATGCCTGAAGAAAAATGTTACAATTTTTACACCAAATTTAATTATAAAGTTTGTTATGTGATGTTGGAGTTGGCAAATCTAAGTAAATCAGATCCCGAATAGCGATTTTACGTAATTAAAACATTATTCTTATTTTGGCAATCTCTGTAATGGTGCCTGTTACAAATCTGGATTTACAGCAGATGTCTATTTGGATTTATTGATAACAGACATTCCATGATACGATTTGAGTATCTTATTTTTCTAGGAGTTGATTCACTACCTCAATATATCTAACTGTATGATAGCCTCATTTGTACAAAAAATAGTGCCATCAAATACTGAGGTCTTCCACCAGGTATTCTTCAAACTCTGTTAAAGTTAGCCGCGCAAACACTTAATAGCAATTCATATCAGACTTTGCTTCCTTAAGTTGAACATGAAGTAAAATGGCAAACCTGTCCCTATTATGAGCTCAAGTTCCTTATACATTAGCAATCCCAAATTAACTACACTAACATTGCTTCTCGTGTACCACTTACATACATAATCGAGTCCGAGGTCTCTACGTTTCTGATTGGCACAGATTTAGACTCCCTGGATCGTAGAGAAAAAGACACACACACGCAGAGAGATATGGGAAGACAGTGATAGAGAGGAGGGCTTTGTTTCTTCAGCTCCATGTAGTGAGGACTGACTCACATATCTACCAAACTACATTTCCTGTGAAATGAAACCTCCTTTCAAGTGGTGCAGGAGCTCTTAACAAACAAGATAGATGCTAAGGCCCTTACATTGAAAGAAAACAACTCATGTATTAATTATGGTAGCTGCTGCGGAATGTGCTTCACAATTCCCTATTATCATAGTGATGTGAGCTTTTACAAAACTTCATAGTATTTATTTATGATTGCTTTAACTGGATTGTCCTAATCGATATACTCAAAGTCACTTGGAATTAGTCCTTTCCAAACCAAGCATGACTTAATGTCAGTAACATAATATAAATGAAATCTAATAGATCAAATAGGTGAAAATTAAAACATGCTATAATGCTATAAAAAAGCACAAAAGATTTTAATATAATTTTAAAACAGAGAACATTACACAGAAACTCTAAAACCTTGTTTACACAAGATCTTCAAATTAAAATACTGTTAAATGGGCAATATTACAGTGTTTTCTGGCAAAGATCAGCCTTCCTGTGTACAGTACCAAAGCTGTCTCTACCATACTGCTTGTAGTAAACCTTCCTCCGATATCGGAGAAGGCAACAGAAAATTAACTCCAACAACTGGCATACAGCACTTTCCTTTTATCATCAATGCTGCCCCACAATGTGGATAAGTTGGGCTTCGGAAGGCCAGTCACCTGGATATGATATTTTAAATACAGCATTTTGATGTCAAAATTAAAATTAAAATTAAAAATGATTTTGTTTTACCTTCAACCATGAACATAGGCACTTTTCCACCACCGTGCGCCAACATCTCTCTGCGATAGCGGTCTCCCATAATCCTGACGAAAGAGAAGTAATAATTATCTTACTCTGCAGCAAAGCTCCGAATCACCATTTTCAGAAGTGAGTTGGATCGTCTTATAAATCAGCTTTAAAATTACATATTTACCACGCGCTCGGAAAGTTACTGAAAAGAAAACGGTTTTCAGCTCATTTCCTTTTGCCTCTAAAGAATAAGCAGCACCTCTTCTAAATTTACCTTGCTGTCACTGCACCTGTGTTTTTTTTTAAATTTGAATCCCAGAAAGCTCACTTACTCCTTTCTCTGGAAAAAGGAACTAACTTCCATGCTACAGAGCTTTATAATGTACAGGGCTTGGGCCTATATATTCAAGTTTTGTTTACAGGCATCTGCTAAATGGCTGCTGCAATGGAGGGGAGCAGGGAAATTTTAAATCTTTTCCCCAGTATTTCTAGCCTTCCATCAGGTGTATTTAGCTAACTTGTAGTTGGACTATTGTACTTTAAACAACATCAATTTGTATTCATATCACACCCTAAATGTAATGAAACATCATTAAGTTCTTCACAAAAGTATTATCAGGCAAAATTTAACACCAAGCCACATAGACATATTAGTATTGATAAGGACGACAATTGTAGAGGTTAGGGGCTTGGTAATTGAACCCACAGCTCCCAACAGTAATCGGTTTGCATTTGTCCTCCTCCCACTCTTCAACATGTTCATTGTCAGTTGTGTAGCTACTGATGTGCTTCTAACACTGAAAACCCTACCTAGCTGGCACTCTTCAAATCTGACAGTGCAATATCCTGAAAGTAATATTTAATGAGGTGCCCTTATTGCCACGTGAGATCACCTCAGTTAGTTACATACAAACCAATTCACAATGATGAGAACCAGTCCCAAATTATCAACTCTATATTGTGCATATGTCATTACATTTAATTTTGTGATTACTGTTGAACTGAGTTAACTTTTTTTTTATATCTGATCATATCAGGGCTACATGTCTATGTAAGTGGGTACTTTACTTGGAATTTTTGAAATACCACTGTATTCCCAGCATTACACATGACAGGCAATGAAACTGTCTAGATATAATTTATTACAGGTGGCATACAACAAAACATTTGCTACTGAATAATGTGTGTTAAAACACACATTCGATTATGATGTGACAAGAGTTGGTTTCTTTGTTTATCAACTGCTAACAAAGTTTTTCAAACTTACTAAGTAATTCAAATTTGTGGTCAGAAAGCTATTTCAAAGGCATAGCAAATAATAATAACTGATTAACTGATTAACCGACTAATTTTTCTTGTCGTAGACTTCTCTGGTACAAAATGCCCTCAGATCATAAATGGTCACTCTCATGCCGAGGCTACTTTTATCTTCACCCATCAATCCCAACTTCCCAGGAGAGACAAAAAAAAATTTAGAGACCTATAGCCCATTCAGGAGTCTTCTGGCAACAGGTTTTCTTACTTTTATGTTTGCACATAATGGCCTAGGTTTTCCCAATTATAATACTGAAGTCAGAGATCATACCACACAGAAGGAGGCCATACAGCTCATGCAGCTCTTTGAATCAGTTATCCAACTAATTTATTGCAATGGATTACTGTCTGCGTTACTGTGAGAAAATTTTGGTGAGTATTGGGAAATTTCATAATAAATTTGCCAATTACATAGTTATAAAACCCAGTTATACATAAATCAACCTAATTATGAATTTTCTGAATTACCAATCAATTTACTTCAATTGACTAAAGAACTGGCACTATTAACTTAGAAAAGGAATAAGTCAAAAATCTATATGTTTGTTAGATACAGCAGATATGTCTACTCTCTACCACACTGCTTGGCATCCATTCCTAAATTCAATATTGCTACTTGTCAAGACATAATGTCATTGGTATAACTAGGCTATTAAAACATCCTCACAACGCTTTGTGTATCATAATACAAATTGAACTCATCTGTGCCAAAAGACCAAAAACACATTTTTGGTTGATAATTAAGGTTTACACACATTTGCCCTAATAAAATCAATTACTACCCTAGGTAAACTAATGATTAAAGAACTTGATATGCATCCTGTTTGCTTAATTCGGACATGCAAAAAAGTGGTAGTCAGGCTTCAAACTTATTTTGCACGTTATAACTAATTGTCAGAGTAAACTTTACAAAAGACACAAAGACTTTAATTGTAAACTATCAAGAATTTAAATCAATTTTGAAATTTACTGCCATTGTAGAACTTTTGTTGCTTGATCAAGCAGTGGCTCACTTTCTCATTCCACATTCTCAAAAGAAACACTGCTAACAAATCACATTTCCACCTATGTCACCATTTTTAAACTTCAATTAAAGCTTCTCCTGATCTACATCCTTTAACAGAGACAGTTTGATCCACAGGAGGCAGGCATTTGGCCCTTCTGTCTGTGCCATCTTTTCAACTATAGATGTAGTCTCACTCCCTGATCTTGGCACATGGCTGTGCACTTATCAAACTTTTATATAAATTATACAAATTTTGATAGTGACTACTGAACCCACTTGCATTACCTCTTCAAGCAATATATTGTAGATCATGATTTGTTGTGTTAAATAAAATCTCAATTTTCTTTTTGCAATTGTCTTCAATCTGCATTCCTGGTTTCCAAGTTCTGAGATCTCATTTTACAGAATACATCCCCATTTCTTTACGAACTTAATTCTAAGTTCTCCTAAATTTTCTAACCTGTTAAGTGGGTCCTTCATGAAACATTGCTTCCAAACCATGGACGCTACTGCTCTTGACATTAGATAGGAGTAATACTTGGCACCATATCCAACAAGGTGGCTAAAGCGCAGTTGCCATGCCTAAAAAGAAAAGAAAACTGTAACTCTTTGCTCAACCCAACAGAATTTGAATACATATATGTAACCAAATTTTTGTGCTTCAAACTTAAATAATTATAATCTGAAAATGTGAAATGACTGCAAGTCTGTACACTGTATGCAGAGAACTTAACATTTTTCTCAAATGGAAAGCAGAAATGATACAGTATATGAAATATGTAATCATGTAATACAAATGGTGTCCAGTTCTTTCCGGTCACAGTACAAAAAAGATTTTGTAGTTATTGAAAGGATACAGGAGCGCTATTAGAATGATTTTTGAGAGAAGTTGGTGTTGGCTTATTAAGGCCAATCACTAGAAAAGTGAATGGTAAGAAATTATATGATTGATGTTCACAAGATCGTAAAGAAACAAGACAAGATAGACCATGACAAGTTATTTCATCAAGCCCAGTATAATCAGAAGACATAGCATCTGCTTGAAGAGAAGTCTATTCAAAATTAATCTTTGTAAACCGTATTTCTGTGAGGAAAAGGTCAACCTACTATCCCTGACAGAAAGGTGATTGTACATTGTACTGATTAATTCAAATACAAATTAGACATATTTCTTTCAAAAAATAACACTTTAGGTTATGGGATAGGAAAAATGTTAAATGTTGTTTACTTTGGAGGAATAGAGGGCTTTGGAAATATGCGTTCCAAAATTTTCAACCACAGGGAGCGCATTACATCATATCGTAGTCTAATTAATAACTACTGTCCGATCAGGTTTGCAGACGACGAACAAGAACATCGGGTTGAATTTGACCAGAAATTAGCTAACTGCCAATTTCAGGGAGTTTCATGGAAGGTTTCTCTCTGTGAGCTCCAATCATTTAGCTCACAAAATTCTTTACTGCCAAACTTATGATGAATGTACCTCACTCGCTCCCTAGGCCCATGCTCACACTATCATGTGCTCAACAGCAACAGAATCTTCTGTGATTTGTACAACCGGAACCATGCTCTGGGCCAGCAATGCACCAGGTCAAACACTGCCTGCCAGGAATAGCCCTTTGCTGTACATACGGAGGGAGGGAAACAAAAAAGAAAAAGCTGAAGACTTCTAAGTGGTACAGGTGACATTCCGTCGGAAACAGAATCTCACAATTGTAAATGTATTGTTCTTTCATCACTTGTTTAATTGACTGTCATAGTAACTATGTCTAAGAATTATAGAGGTTGGCGATCACATGCAGGAACAGTAATCTTGTGCACAAGGGACAGTAATTGTGGGAGAGTGGAAAGATTCAGGACAGTTAACAGGCTTGCTTACAAAGTCAGGGCACAAACAGGATCCATTGCAAGACCCAGGAAAGTTGGCCAGCAATTATGAAAACTAGAACAGAGAAAGAAGTCCAGGGTTTGCAACCTGATTAAAATATTTTCTTCATTAAAACTGGAATACATCATCTACAAGGTAGGTTCAGTTCAGATTTGAGACAGTTTCTGGTGAAAGAGTAAGTAAAAACGTAAACTACCTACTTTACATAGAAACATAGAAAATAGGATCAGAAGAAATAGACCATTCAGCCCTTCAAGCCTGCTCCACAATCCAACATGATCATGGTTGATCATCTAACTCAGTACCTTGTTCCAAATTTCTCCTCATACCCTTTGATTCCTTTAGGCCTAAGAACTATATCTAACTCCTTGAAAACATTCAATGTTTTAACCTCAACCACTTTCTGTAGCAGAGAATTGCACAAGCTCATTCTCTGGGTTAAAGGATTTCTCCTCCACTCAGTCTTACATGGTCTACCCTGTATCCTATATTTTCTTTTGGAGATAAAGTCCCCCACTGTACCCTTTAGTTGCAAAATGGACCTTTTCTAGTCAAAAACAATTCCAAACTACCCAGTTGTTCACTTGTGTAATTGTCTTCACATTGCAACTAAGCATGGCCAAGATCACTGAAATACATTGTTACTTGATTGCGAAATAAACTTACACTAACAAATACATTAAAGTTCCCCGACATGAAAACAACTGAGCTTGGATTAAAATTCAATGTTCATAATTTAACAGCAAAACACTTTTGCTGCAAAGCTCAAATTTCAGATTAAATGAGTTGAGATAAAATATCAATTGATTTTTAAGTGCAATCCATACAAAATACATGTTTAACACAAATATGAGGCATTACTTCTGAATGGAAGATAATTCAAGATTAACAAATCTTACCGTGTTTTGTACATAGGGCAGTCCATAAAATTTCTCCTGGGTTTCCTTTAATATCTCCGTGGTTGATTTTGGTAAAGGGTACTTTCCATGGTAGATTTGATCCAGGACTGAATAGAAGATCTAATTTAAAAGTAAAGCTTTTATTATTAATGCAGTTTACCAAGGC